GGTCTGTCGGTTCCGAGTCGAATCCATGGAGGTCTGTGGTTCCGAGTCGAATCCATGGAGGTCTGTGGTTCCGAGTCGAATCCATGGAGGTCTGTGGTTCCGAGTCGAATCCATGGAGGTCCGTCAGTCGGTTCCGATCCGAATCCATGGAGGTCTGTGGTTGCGATCCGAATCCATGGAGGTCCGTCGGTTCCGATCCGAATCAATGGAGGTCCGTGGTTCCGATCAGAGTCAATTGACAGCTGTTCAATTACTTATTTGCAGCTGGATCAAATAAATTAATAGTCAAAAAAATCACATCCTGTGATTTCTGGATTTTGAACCTACGATATCAAGGTCAGATGGTTTCTTAGTGGGAGAACTTAGAAAATAGCAGGAAGTTCAAATACATATTTTCTTCCCTGTACTTCAGTAAAAATGTGGGCTTTCTATACTTTGCTGCAGTAATTGTTCTTTAGACAACTTTTTCCTTCTACTCCTTAAATTTTAAGATATTCTCGTTAGTTTTGTTTAATTTAAGCTCATTTTCATTCTGGCCTGTCGGTATTTAAAACAAATAAAAACCATCCAAATAATTAGTTTCATCCAGATAATTAATTTCCTTGTGGTTGGACTCGGTGCTGCCCCATCTTGTTGCTCACCACAAACTAAAATAAATAGTTTTTTGCAGATGATGCAAAGTTAAATGTGACACTGTTACCATTAGTTATAAAACTGAGAAAATGAAGTATAAGGAAGTTATCGTCCAGAATAGTAGAAAAATGTTCCTTTAATAGGGTAGAGCAGTAAAACTTCTGGCCATAACAGTTTTCCCTGCATTACTTTTACTTTAATCCTTTAAGTAGTTTTAAAAGTGGTAATTTTACACTTTTACTGGAATATATAGTTGATCATCTAACTTCTATGAAAGTGTTTTAAACAGCTGGATTAACACTGGAGGAATAAACATGAATACCTGTGAGCCTGACCTGTTCAGCTTACAGCAGACTCTGCTTAGCATTGTGAAGTGGTGCAGCCTCTTCAGACCAAGGCTGCCTGCTGTCATTGTTCCTCTGCTGAGAGGAGAGGAGATGGAAACATTGCTGCCAAAGGGGCAACAGCTGAAAAGCTGAAATGGGCTCAGCGTCAGACTGTCCTTCGTTTTGAAAGAGCTCCCCTGGTCAGTGGGTGGACTCGTCTCTATCAGTCTCCCTGCTGTCAGCCTTTTCTCTTGGTTGTCTGAGGGGGAGAGGCCCTCAGCCTTCAGGAAAACATTTATTGTGAAATGTACCTTCAGGATCAATAGAGGTTTATGGAACTGAGTTGTTGTGGTTTTGTGTCTGACTGCAGGTTAGGGATGCTCTGCGACGACGCCGTGCCTCATGCAGACTCCATTCTGGCTGCTCTTGCAAAGCACCTGGAGGCCAGACTCTCCTTTGGTGAGTTCACCCGCTTTGGGTCAGAGCAGAGGAACAGAGGCGGTACTGCTGCTATAGCCTTAGATTGCTGGAGGACATAGGGACTCCTTTTTCATCATTCTGCTTCATTCTATCTCTATTCTCCCACTCTGCGGAATCTGTTAGTTCAATCTCTAACGTTCTGCTCTCTCTGCTTTTTCTCATAGTAGCTTCATCTGGTCTGTTCCTGTTTGGCTGTGACACCATAACAAAGTGAAATATCAGCTGTTCTGCTTCCATCAACACCTTAGTGACTAACTGGATGTGCTCTCTTCATCCTCTGGCATGGGAGCTGGCTCTGAGCTTGTCTGTCTGGCTGTGTG